GGCCTCAAGCACATCATTAAAAATTGGGGAAAATAATTAAAATACCCCAAACTATGAAGGGGTGTGAGATAACTGATAAGCACCCCAAACTTGCACATGTAATTTAAATATCTCAAACTTTATATAAAATGTTATTTTAACACCATGGTCATATATCATTTCTTAAAAAAAAATTAAATTTATGATGTTAATTGCATAATTTAAATTATCAAATTGAAAAATTTGCAATTATATAGAGTGGAGAGTAATACTATTTATTTTACAGTGGAAGTTTAAAATGTTAATTGTATCTTTATGAATGCTAAAATATTTTAAATTATGAAATTAAAACCAAAAATTGACATTTAAGAAAAAATAATACATGACTAGGGTGCTAAAATAACTATTTATATAAAGTTTGGGGTATTTAAATTACATATGCAAGTTTGGGTTCTTACCTCACACCTCTTCAAAGTTTGGAGTATTTTAATTATTTTCCGCTTAAAAATTAAAACAGTTTTAAAATATTCAAGAAATCATACTCTACCATGAATACCATTGAAGCTGAGTACATTACTTACTAAACAGTTGAGTGCTTCGTATGTGAGCAAGAATTCCTTTCAGTTTTGGACCAAAGCAATTTGTGATCCTTATGGAAATATTTGAGTACGTAATCAGTTTTCAAAAAAATCTTGATATATAATTACCAGACTACATACTTGAAACTTTTTGCAGAAATAGAATAAAAAAAACAAGTACAGATGATCATTGAAACTTCTACACCATATTACTTTTGTCTTCTTCAATATCCGCTTCGAACCCAGTAGATTCTTCTACGGAATATTGGGTGATTGGGACACAAACACTAATGCCTTTTGGTCTCAAACCCAGAAGCTCATACTCTCAAATATACAATGCCTAAAGTTGTTGTCGCTTGAAGACAGGGGCGGAGCTAGGGGGTGCCCAGGCTAGGCCCTGGCCCACCCCAAATTTGAAAATTGTCAATATTTTTAGTGTAAAAAATTTCGTGTAATTTTTTTTCCAATAATATTCTTTGTACCGGCCCAGTCTAGCCCAGTGTCTTGGCTACGCCCCTGCTTGAAGATACCATTTGACAAAAATAAATGTTAAAGTTTGGTTGGAATATGCATACATCTAAATAACATAGGAGGGGCAACAAATGAGATTCTAGTTTCAAAATATTTCAGCACTGCAATCCACAAAATTAGTTTCTCTTCTCTACATTTTGATAAATATGCTAGAGATGATACATAGACAAGCAAAACCCTCTTTTTTCTGAATTAGAGTCTGTTTTGTTTTTCAATGATATTCTCGATTATAATGGGTATCGCAATTTTTTCATATTGTAGGTCGGGGAGCGAGTTTATCTTCGGAATCCCATCAGGAAATTACATTACGCATCAAGAAATCCAATACAAAAGCAAATAAGAAAATTACAATATGCTAAAACCCCAGCCTGTATTTGAAGTCCGTTCACACGCAATCAAATAAACCAATGTGAAAGCAGAAAGAAAATAATCAGAAAACATAATCTCAATTGCCAAATTGGTGTACCTGATGACAAGGAAAACCCTCCTAGAATCCGGTTGCGGATGAATGAAGGAAAGAGAGCATGCACCGATCTGCTTTCCCGATAAAAGTGGTTTGAGGAGGAAAAGAAATTAGGGTTGCGGCCATTATATAAGTTCGCCGAGGATAGTTGTGCCTCGCGTACGTGGGTTTTTGAGTCCGCCTCACAGGTCTTATTCCGTGAGACGGGCTGATCCAGCTCATAGAACATGCTGCCGATTCAATCCCCTTCGTGCTGCTTCATCATCTTCTTCCCGCATGGCTTCTCAAAAGAAGCCGTCTTTCCGGAGTACATGGACGGAGATAAATAATTTCATTTGACCCGTACCCGGTACCACATCATGGGTGGGGTTGGGCCAGGTTTGGGCTAAAAACCCCAGAAACCTTTGTTTTCACTTTTTGAGCCTAATGAAAAGATCAATACTTTCGAGCTAGTCCGGGTTTTAAGAGCTTCGGGTTCAGGTTGAGTTCGAGTCGGGTACCGTTAGATGCGGGAAAAGAATCTTCAGATTAGAGAGTGTTTCAGGCAGTATCTGCAAACGCTTAAAAAACGTTTCTCACCTTTTGAATTAAAAAAGCTAAAAATAGTGTTTTCAAGAGACAATTTCTTAAATTGAACACTAAAAAGTTAAAAGCTAGAATATATTTTTTACTTTTTCTATTACACAACAAGCTCTAATTTTACCAAACAGTACCAACTTTTACTTTTCAAAATCAATTTTTCCTAAACACTACCAACTTTTACCAAGCATTTTTTCCAAAATCACAAAGTGATTTTTTTTTTCCAAAATACACCATTGCAACATTCCCTGAGTAAATACAAACTAAAATACCTGAGTGAAGAATAATGGATATAATATTTTACTCCCTCCATCCCGTAAACAAATTCTCGCTTTCCTTTTGGGGCAATTCCAAAATTTGCTTCACACTTCAAAACTTTCCTTATTTGACACATTTTCTACATCAAAACAATGTCAAAGAGTGTCAAACAGTGTCCAAACAGTGTCAAACTGTGTTTAAACAGTGCAAAACAATGCACTTTAGAGTAAAGTTAAATTTATTTTCTTAATCTGTGTGAAGTCAAAGTGTGAAGATAATTGCGGGACGGGTGAGTAGATTTTAGACTCAAGAAAAAATGTTGCTCTCCTGATTTGCCGCTTTGGTTTGGTGTGGAGAACCACAAAGGCCTCGTTTGTTTTACGGCGGATTGGTACCCACCTGCTCCATTTTGCAGCGTTTCTAAGAGTAAAAGGAATAGCGGGTTGGGTAATCCGCAGCTTTCCAAACGTACCCAAAAGCAAAGGAAAGTAAAAGACAAATATAATATTACGTATGTGTGTAAATTATTTATATATATTAGTTCATTATTTTGTCCCTTAAAACTTTATCAACTTTCCTTTTTTTATTGTCTCGCTAATTTTGCCACTTTACCTATTTAGTAGAAAATTTGTGGTTTCAGATAATTCTCTCTCATCTGCACAAAATTAACTACACAATTTTTACTTTATTAATCCTAATGTCGGTCAAACTTGACAAAATTTTAAGTAATAAAGCGAGTAGATAAAACAAATCCTGATTTTTTTTAGAGTTCCAATAGAAAGATAAGTATTTACGAATTAAGAGTCCAAAACCTAAAGATTTCTAGAGGTAAGTAATTACCTTGGTTATATAGTTTAGATTAACATATACTCCCTCCCTCCGTCCAGGGTAAAGGTTCTTGTTCGGTTTACGATGTTTGACTGATTATAAAGTAACTGATCAATGTGATCAGTAATAAGATTATTTTTTATAAATAAAATCTGCATATTCAGAAATTACGTTAAAAGCTTTATAAAATCGTAAAAAAACTCAATTTTGATGAAAATTGGATATATAAAGGTAGGGTTTAATGCACCAAACCCCCCTGTGATATGGAAATTCGGCGTATTAGCCCCCTATGATTTGAAAAATGTGCCAAACACCCTTGTGTTTTAATTAATTATGCGCAAAATCCCTTCTGTTAACAAATTCAATTCTCAAATAAAAGTAAAATGGTTAACATTTTTGCATGATTGAGAGATTTTGACATATTTACTTGCATATTCAATCAAAATATTAGGAAAAGAGATTTTCAAATCGTTAAATGTATTCATATAAGGGGTTCTGTGCATGATTAATTAAAACTCAAGGGAGTTTGACGCATTTTTCAAATCACAGAGGGCTAATGCGCTTACTTTCCATATCACAGGGGGATTTGGTGCATTTAACCCACACACGATTAAGAACAATTTGTGTTATCCGGAAAATAGTGAACGAAAAACCTTTACCTAGAACAGAGATATTACCATATAAGTTATATTATTACGTACGGAGTACTATACATAAAATGTATATTTTCAATTTCTTAACTTTACTAAAATCTGGCTTTTAACGGTCCAGGTCGGGCTTGAATTTTAAGAAATGAATTAAATATGATCAGATTAGCCAAAAATAAAATTGATAAGTCATTCATCAAACAAGGCCAATATGATTTATTCTTCTTAAACTTAACTGGCTAAAGAGTCAAATAGACCTTCGAACTAACTTAAAAACTGCAAATCATCCCTTATATAAGAGACTTTGTCCGGCCGCCGTCATTTGGGGCAGTTCCCGATGGAATTTTTTGATGAAATGTTTTTAGCATCTTCTTCATCAAGTCTAGTTTACTCATACCAAATTTCAGATAAAAATTCAATCGGGAAGACAGTCAAATGAACTTTTGAAGATAACGCACAGTTAAACATCGCAATATATTTCATAAAATCATTTGACTGTCTTGCCGGTTGAATTTTTATCTGAGATTTGGTATGGGTAAACTAGACTTGATGAAGAAGATGCTCAAAAAAATTCATCGAAAAAATTCATCATGAACTATCCCAAATGGCGATGGCAGAACCTCCTATATAAGAGGTGATTTGCACGTTTTAAGTTAGTTCGAGGGCCCATTTGACACTTTAGCCAACTTAACTAGGCATTCATGCTACTCTCACCGTCCCATTAAGAGGTTCCAATTGCAGTTTACGATGTTTGATTGACGATAAAACAACTTAATCCTTATTCACACTCTGATTATTTTTAGTAAATAAAATTTACATATTCAGAAACTACATTAAAACCGCTACAAAGCCTAATAAAAAATTGTAAGTTTGATAAATATTTGATACATTACAATGAGACAAATTTAACAATATTTTTTTCATAAAATAATATTAATACATTAATAAATAAAATGTAGTCAAAGTAGAACATGTGAATAATGTAAATTTCCATATGTTGCATTTATTTAAGAACGGAGGTAGTATATAAAGTGAAAGATTAAGAATGATTTAAGTTGAGCATGTGAAAAGTGGACAGGGATGTTTAAATGGGATGGAGGAAGTATGTAATAAAGAATCACCAATCGTGCACACGAGTAACTTGATAGTAACTAATTCAGATTGAGATTTACTTGGTTGGATTCTAGAAAATAAAACCCTAACCAGCACTCCATAGATAGTACTACGGACGGAGTAGTATCCAAATGTCAACATGAAACAACAGCCAAATTCCACAAAGAACTTCTCAAAATTGTCTTTTAAACCCAAACTTCAATCACACATTAGGCATTTAGGCCGATGACAACTTAGTTTCGGACCTTCGGTGAACTTGAATAGTTGAGAAGTCGAGAAACTTCAAAGATAATAGTACGTAATAAGTGCAAAAACGCATCTAAAATGGGCAAGTTTGAAAGAAGTGTTGATACAAGGAAACAGAATAAGCTCACACTCTTGCTGCATAGCCTACACGGACAGTAATATCCGAAGAACGGAAGATGAATAATGAAGGCATGATATAGTAGTAGTATATATATATATATATATATTAGTATATATATTTACTTCCAGAGCTTGCGCAAGGACATGTTCTTCTCGGTATCCTTCTTCATAACCTTGGCAACTGCCATCTCAAAATCTTCTTGTGTCACGTGGACTCTTCTCTCCCTCAGAGCAAACATCCCAGCTTCAGTACAAACAGCCTGCAGGCATGTACACATACATGGGTGAAAATTTGTTTTCTTTTTAAAATTAAAAATGAGGCTCTTAACTTGCTATGTCAGTCCATCCAGCAAACACGCAGCAGAATATTAAACCGCCCATTCCAACTCACCTTAAGTTCAGCCCCCGAAGCACCGCTCATCTTTTCTGCTATCTTCTTTAAGTCAATCCCGCGCGTCAAGTTCATTTTCCTTGAATGAATCTTCAAGATATCCCAGCGAGACTAATAAAATCAACATTGTGAATATTCCCCCTTTAGTAGTTGAATGAGGAAGGAAAAGATGTACACTATGGAAGCAAGAAGTTCAAGATCCCCTAGTAGAAGGCCAGTCGGCGCAACTTTTAATGAGGATAAAGTGCAAGCAACAGATCAAGAAGGCTCTTCATACCTCTTCATTGGGATTGGGAAATTCAATTTTTCGGTCAATTCTTCCTGGTCTGAGCAGGGCTTGGTCCAGAATATCTATACGATTTGTGGCCATCAATACCTGAAATTAATGCATGTTTTTCTTCATGTCTTTCCCAGTAAATAACCAATACAGTAAAACATGTATTCTGTTTAAAATAATGAATTATAGAAGAATAACCTTTATATTTATTATAGATTTTCTTCCTAGCTTTGGCCAGTTATAAACAGATACAAGCTCTAGATTGCACCGTGTTCAAATTATAAAGGTTATTTCAGATGACAAGGCTTGACTGCATTTAATTTAATATTGCTAATTGAAATTTACATGTCTAAAACCGCACTAAAAGTTCTATTAAACTACAGTAGCAAGACAAATTTGAACATGAAAAATAACTTGATATAGAAAATAAAAGGATAAAATAGAGTTAGGTTGACAACATAAATAGTTTAGATGGGCATATAAGATGGAGTAGAGGAAGTAATATGTTACACTCACATGCGTTTTACAGTCCTATGCTTCACTTATGCTCAGGAAGCGCACACACACTTATGCTTCAAAACCCGCCATCAGGTGCCTTACCAAACCCACCACCACATTGAAAATACCTGCCCTTTTTAACAACCCAACCCTCATAACATACCCTTAGGGTGAACCCTTCATCCCTCCCTATTACCATACCCACCCCTCAAGGGGAATTTTTACAATTTTATAGGGGTGGTGGGTTTTGATAGGTACCCAGTTGTTGAACTTTGAAGCACTTCTGTAATTCTATAGAAGTGTGTTTAAGTGCAAAAAATCAATGCATATTGGTAAGGACTCAAGGTTACTTGAACAAATGTGAAAACAAAACGTTATTATAATTCTATAATGTCTTCGTACATGCTCAAATATACTCAAAAATATGGAAATTGTTTTAAACATGTACTTTATATTTCTCTGCTTTTTCTATATTGAACATTACATAAAACTGTGCACACAACCTAATTACCTCACCAAATTACAAGTGACATCATATCTTCTGTACATGCTCTTAAGGAATATGGAGTTCTTAAATGGTTATTATTATTGTAAGAGTTTATTTTTTGCTACAACGGAAAATATTGTTAGAGTTTAAACTTTTGGGTATTCAAAACTTTTTTGGTACTAATACTTTATCCAGTTATAACCGTCCCAAGACTATTCTTATATAGAGGTTCTACCATGAATACATACATATATACATATGCACACACATAAATATGCACGCACGTGCACACAGCAAACACACACAAAATAAAGCTCCTGCTCTGTAATAACCTTGATCTTGTTTGATGCCTCAAATCCATCAAGTTGGTTAAGAAGCTCCAGCATAGTGCGCTGCACTTCACTATCACCATTGCCGCTTCCTGATTCCATTCTAGCAGATCCAATGCTATCAATTTCATCCATGAATATAATAGACGGGGCATGTTCTCTGCAAAACAATAAAGCAGGATTACTTAAGATGGACCAACAAGAGAGACTTTTAATTTAACCATATAGCAAAAGCCTGAAGTAAAGCATATGAGACTTCTGAACATCTGAAGTGTAAATGATATGAAAAACTCCAATATGACTATTTAACACAACACATTATCCACTGGTTATGACTCATGATGCTTCGAGCACCTAAAATTCCAAAACAGTGAAACTGACTTTATAAGGCAGCCGATGATTAGTTCTTTTTACTTTTTTTGCAAAACACTCAACAAAGGTTCTTTGATGCCCCTGCTCAATTGTATAAAGCATAGTATACATTATACAGTATACATACCACGTTTTATGATTAAATTTGATATTGTTTACTAGAATGAGGAAATTAAAAAAATGTTTTACAAAAAATCTCAATTAATGCTAGTTGCAAAACGCATTTCATGGGGATGCGTAATTGTGTCACACATATGTTCCCTCTATTCCCTAGATAATCCAAACTAAAGAAGTGATAACATTTTCTGGCATAACTAACTAAACGTTTGAACAAATTTCCACTATAAAACATCTCTTTTCGCCCCGACTGCTGATAATTTTTGTTTGACACAAAGTGTACCAAAGAAAAGATAATCCCTTCTCCACTTCCGCAAAACTATATTTGCATTCGGTAAGGCATTTAAAGTTACAAAATATTTTTAGTTTAAATGTGAGATATAGAACACACCTGGCCATAACAAATAGTTCTCTCACCATTCGAGATCCTTCTCCAATATATTTCTGCACGAGTTCAGAACCAGATACCCTTATGAAGGTACAATCAGTATGATGTGCGACGGCTCTTGCCAACAATGTTTTCCCTGTACCTGGGGGTCCATAAAGCAGAACTCCCTGTTCATTGACAAAAAATAGACAAGATGAGAATCTGCATTCATGGTGAACAAATAACATGCCAATTAAACATGTGAGAGCCAATTATGACTAAGCTACCTTTGGTTGGGCAATTCCCAGACTCTCAAACAACTCAGGGTGTTTAATAGGAAGCTCAATAACCTGAAATTTATAATTTAAAGGATCAAAACACGCAAATCCATTTGCAACTATGTAAAATACAAAATATGTGTTATTAATACTCGTAAATAATGACAGAATATTACAAACTAAATTGACACATAAATAAGTGTGGAAAAATGAAAACCTCCTTAATCTCCTTGATTTGTTGATCAAGACCACCAATCATGTCATAAGTAGAATCGGGAACCTTTTCAACTTTCATAAGATTGACTAAAGGATCCACTTTGCTAGGCAATATCAGATGAAGAACATAACTATCATTGCGAAGAGCAACCCTGGTAGAGGGAGTAATCTTTGTTATATCAATGTTCTTATCAATGTCAACCACATATTTGCCTTCAGGGTGTACCTGCACCACAATATAAGATGAGAGACAAAGAAGAACACATACACACACACAGAAACATATCAATATTATCAATTGATACCAACTTAGGGAGGAGGGGCTTACTTTAACTAAAACCTTTGATTTGCCCATCACTTTGACAACTTCACCAACATAAGATCCAGGCTCCTGTAGCAATTGTAACTCTTCCTTCAGCATTCTCACTGCTCAATTAAAATAACCAAAACAAAAGTACACAATCATCAGCTGGTATTTCTACTAGTCAAGGAAATCATTGGTATTTGTACTAGTCAAGGAAATCATCTGCTGAAGTGGAAGCACATAAAATCTGGTGAAAGTCAAGAAGCAGTAACCAATCAATGGTTAAAATAATTAAAAATGGATACTGGAACAAAGAATCACGTCAATCACCACTGGAGCGAACAAAACTACCCATAAGAGAATCACATTAGATCCCACCTCTATAAGAAAGGGACAACCACAACCTACACTATAGTAAGAATTATGCGTCCTACAGAAAATTCCCTCAAATTTTAACAAACAAAACTAGACTCTGCGAATTTCCCCATTTGAATAAGATCATAAAATGTGAAAATGAAGGAGAGAACAAGTGATCCCGAAGCAATTACGTTTTTAATATAGCACTGCTGTATGATAATACAATCACTTGATGCATATAACTACATCCGCCCATTAAGTTTGACACAAGGATTTTGACAAAAATATTAAGGAGAAATGAAATTGTGTGGTTAGTATTGAATTTGTAAGAGTAAGGGTGATTGTGACTTGTGAGCCGTTAAATATGCTCAAATATGGAATGGGACAAACATTTTGGGACAACAGAAAATTGAAAGTGAAAAAAAGAATTGGATGGGGGGTATTTATCAATATATTAACTTATTTTAACCGTTCCAACCACCGAACACCTAATAAGTGGTCCGAAAACTGGTCTAGTTCTGAACTGATAGACTTGGTGCCAATTAATTGTAGAACAAGTTTACTATAGAACCATACAAAAGGCATGATGACAAAGTTTTACACTGTATATTCTTGCTACAACCTTCTTTTTAAGGAATCAAGTGATGAAATTCCAAAAGTTTTTGCACCATAGGTTTTTTTCCTTTTGCATGGAAAATATATGAAATGGTGAGTCAGCGACTACTAAATGAGTTTACATAATTGTTATAGTCATGTTCTATTACGAGATTGTTATGTTAACATGTTCATCATGAAACATTATCATCATTCTATTTAGATTTATTTCATGAAAAAATACATGTTTAAGGAAGTGTTACTGGAACTTGTCAGGTTACTTTATTGGTTAATTATCAAATTATCATGGAAGAAGCTACCTATAGTATATTGGTGTATATGAGGTGTCTGGATCAGGCATACCTAGTACTAGAGACCCTTTTGGGACTCTGACCGCCTCACACCATTAATAACAGCATGGTTTTAAAAGGCGTTTCGCACCTACGCCTCTGAGGCGCAAAGGCGCTAAAGCGTTAACAAACCGCCTGTAAGGCTTAAGCCTTACCTTCCACTAACAAGGCTTACGCCTTTTTTTACTGAGGCGGTGATGCGTTCCAGTGCGCATGGCGTGATTGAGGCGTACGCATTTAATTAAATTCAACTTGGGGTTTTCTTTTTTTTTTAATTACTGGGGGCCTCGATTTTAAAAAATAAAAAAACTGCTGCACGTTTAATCGTTTATCTCTTAGTCGGCACAAGACAGCCCTAGTTCCACTACTACGAAGAAACGACTTGAAGAGCTGTCTCAGTCGAAGCCTCGAAGCTGAGTACATATTACATAGACTTCGATCTTTCAGTGTGGCTTCCGTTCCAGGTGTTATTAAGTAAATAGAGTAAATTAAGTAAACAGAGTAAAATCCCACCGCCCACTTGTATAAAATATCCCACCGCAGGTCTGAAGTTTGTTTCTTATTGTATTTATATTGTTTAAGTTTATTTTTTTAACTTCTCAATTATTTAAAAGTTCAGTTTTTATTGTATCTATCTACTACGTTTTTAATGCTTTTTCAGCCAGAAAACTATAAAATATCCCACCGCACCACTTTTTAGTTGTTTTTCTATAAGATATAGTGGTTTCCATTCAATAGTATTACTGTATTATTATGGTTTAAACTTTAAAGTGATCATAAATACTACAGAGTATCATTTAGCTTATTTATTTGTTTAATATTACGTACTTTACTAGTTTACTACTTTAATTGGATCAAGATTTACAATTTAATTAGAAATATTAATAATTAACTTCATTACAGTTTGGTTATGTCTTTTTTTTTTAAAGTTGATTATTAAGTAATTGGCTGTTTTGTCTAACTAGCTTATTTAAATTCATGTACACAAATCATTTTACTTGTGATCTTGTTTAGCTGCAATATTGTTTTAACATTTAAGCAATTAATTTCGAGGCTTACGCCTTGTTACGCCTCGAGGCTTACGCCTCGTGAGGCTACCATTGAACGCCTTGAGGCCCGATTTCGCCTTTCAAAACCTTGAATAACAGTGTTCAAAAAATGGTTTTTGCCTAGCCAGCACTAATCTCCACATATACATTCATACTGAAATCAAGCTCAAATACATGGAAGCATGCACGATAAGTACACAGAGTAGATAGCATCATAGCAATATCAAATTATAATGAATAAAATTCTAACTTTGTAGTTGCAAAAGTAACACTCATATTGAAATCAAGGTCTAGGTTACATGTCCGTCATAGCACATTACACTAGTGTAGGGACTAGGGAGAAGGTAAAGACAAAACAACGGCTCTTTTATGCATATATTTTGTAAATTTACATATTATAGCACAAATTTATGAAAACATTACTTGTAGTTATAAACTTATAACACTTGCATAATATTGGTGGCGAAAATTAGGGCTTTCAAATGTATGTGATTATTAGTGGCCTGACCTTCAGAATTGAGCTCGTTGCGCTGGGCTTCAAGGCGACTGAGATTGTGACTCTTTTGGCGGACTTGAAGCTGGAGATCGTGGATGTGCTGCGAGTAGTATTGCTTGAGACCTTCTCCTTGCTTTGTAGGCTTCGCTGAGCAGCTGTCCTCTCTTCCTGCCCCCGTAAGAACATTCCCTACCTCTGCTGTCGCCATCGTCGATCGCGGGTTTGGGATTCTGATCACTATCTCACAGAGTCACAGTTCCTCAAGACGAGGATGGGTCTTCAACAGTATCGGGTCGGGTCAGGTCAAGATCGGCAAATTATACCTTCATATTTGGTTCAGAGAACTTTTTAAATTGGATAGGTTTTGAATCAGATTAGATTGACCTGCCAAATGCAAGTAGATCAGATTAGATTAAACCTTTTTTTTGTGGAAGAAATAGGCTTACATTAATAAAACATCATTCAGATAGTAGGTAAAAAGACAAAAAGACTTTTGGCAACCGCCGACCCTCGAACCAGACTCAAAGTTTATCATCTTTACAGAAGCAATATAACTCGTTGATTCATTACTGGGCACAAATGAGCTAAAGACGGTTAACGCAGTCCTTTCATCACCTACATCTAAATCCACACTCTTATAGCAAAAAACATACCAAAAGGAAAAGCAAACAGTATGATCAAAGAAATTAAAAAGCAGAAAGGCAATAAAATAAAACTCTTGCTCCCCAGAGCACCACTTCCAACCACGTTCCGGCACCTCCTATCTGTTTTTGATACTCTGGCGGCGGTTCAGGAGGAGGACGAGTCGGCAGTACTATAGCTTCTTCCTCGCTTTGCCTCTTATACATCATATTCTCTGTCAAGCCTCCACTTTCGCCATCAATCACATATGACCTTGAATCTAGATTTGCTCCAGCTTTTAACCCCAAGTTTCACCCATGGCCTTTACTCGATGATGTCATCCATTCACTATTGTTGTATTTTTTTCTTGTTCGCACCAAAAAATTCGTCGCATGAGAAATCCCTGAATCGAAAAGCCGCACAATCTATCAGATTGGCGGAAGAACTAAAATCCTAACTAGAGGGACAATGACCGCTTCATATGGAATTGAGACCTTAATTAGAAAGATGATGGATTAATTAGAAGGCCAGAGTAGAGCCGGAAGAGCGGCGACGGCCGGGAGGGAAGGGAGGAGAATAGTGTGTTACCCTAGCTCGGGTCTCAAACTAAATTAAACTTTGAAAGTTATATATACATATATAACCAACATATACTACACAAAATCGGTAGGATGAGCACCGATCGAAGATCAAACAGGACTGGAATCAGAATTCCAAAAAATGTTGAACTGAAAATCAGACCTATATAATTGCGATCTAGGACCGGACCATATCGTTCCGGGGTATGTTCCCCCGATGCCCTTCTCCGATAGGTGGAACGCCTATCCGGTAAAATTCGGCCCCCGCCTATGATGGAAGAGGAACTAGGTCACGCCAGCCGCATAGCCGGTATTGGTATCCAGAACCTCCGACTGTTGGTGGCAGAACCCTTTATAGCCCAGTCGGATTAGGTGCGTCTAAGTATGTTTCTGCATTTCTCCTGTTTGTTCAAAATCATGGCTCCAATCGTCTTGTTTTCCTTCCTGCAGGAGTTTTTGCGAGCCCCCCTCCCATGGGACGTTCTAACAACCTTCCTCCTATCCCGGGCCGTCAAGATAGAGATTTGGAGAAGGGTCAGAAGCCGCTCGTCCCCAAGATTGAGCCTTGGGTGACTAGGTCGCGGACTAAGGGAGGTTCGGAGCCAGGCCCTTCTTTGAAAAGGTCCTGTCATGAAGGTATGGCCTCATGGGCCATTATGGTGGTGGATGACTCCGACGAGGAACCTGGGAGTCCATTGAAGCGGAAACCGGTCTCTAGGAACAAGCCTCCCCCATCACCTCCGAGGAACTCAGATGTTCGTCGCCTCAGGGATGAGGATGCTCATGGTGCTCTCCCTTATTCTTACTCCAGGCCTTTGATGTCTCCCGGCAAGGCCGTTCGTGGCGATGGTTCTACTAACGCTCGTCCTTCTTCGCCACCGGAGGCCAGCAGATCCTCCCTTAGGCTTATTGAATTCTTCGACGTTGGCCCCCACAAGGAATCCATGATGCTCTTTGGCCAGACCGCCTCCTCTATCTGGTGCGACCTCAACCCCAAGGTTCTCCACGACTTCGCAGCGTAGGAGGCCGCCGAAGATCTTCTTAAGTGTGGTCAAAGCACCTTGAACAAAGCCGGACTCTACTTCCACATGGCTCGGATGGCCTTTGAGCAGCAGGGGAGGGAGATGGCCGCACTGCGGGCTGAGTGCGACGCTCTGCTGAAGAATGCTCGGGGTAAGGTTAGGGCTCTTCAAGAGAAGGCTGAGCCACACGACAAGCTCGTCCAAGAAAATGCCTCCCAGAAGGAGCTCATCAGGAAGCATGAAGCCGAGCTCGTGGACCTGCGTAGCCGAATGTGGGCTGTTTCCCACGCCGGGGTTGAGATTCGTCGCACCGGTGCAGACAATCATGTTCCCATCTACGAGGCTGATGTTTCTAAGATCAAGGAGTCTGGCTCCATTGAATTCCAGCAGTCCAAGGCTTACACAGGCGCCGTGCAGGTTATGTCCAGGAAATTCCTTCCGAAGTTCGTCGGGGAGTATCTTGTTGTTTGCCCGAATCCTTATCTGGATGGCATCTCACTGTTAAAGGCCACCCCCACTGGAGAGTGCTTCCTCGATGATCTTTCCGATGACACTTACTTGAAGGGCATGATTGGTCTTGTGGCCGAGAACCTTCCCGTCTTTGAGCGCCACTTTGGGGCTCCATTTGACTCGGTGGCAGCTGGGTTTGATTCGCTGATGGTGGATGCTTACAAGGGGGGCCTTGAGTTGCTCAAAGAGTGTAAGGAGCGTGAGGAGGCCGAAGCTAAGGAAAAAGCCAAACAGCTTCCTTTCAAGGTCCCAACCCCGGACGACGATCAAGCCTGAAGCTCCGCTCGTCGTCTAATACTTGTCTCCATAATTATTCATTCTTTACATTTGTACTCTGTATTTTCCCAGCCGGAAGAGCTGAAGAATAAAGATTGACTCTTTCTTTAATCGTCTTGTGTCTGACGTGGTAAGCTTCCTTGTATTATTATTATTATTTTTGTGGCAATGCTGCGTACGTCCCTTTTGGTGACGTATGCTCGGCCTCATTTTTCACCCCACTACCTTATCTGCGGCCCTACGCACGTCCTGCTAACCGGTTATGCCTTCGGCGCTCAAACAGATTTCAGCATGGAACCGGTTTACTCTGCTAGAGTTCCCGAGAGTTTCCCCCCACTACCTTATCTGTGGTCCTTCGTACGTCCGCTAGTCGGTGTACGTTCGGTACTTGGACATATTTCAGCACGGGACCGGTTTATCCCAGCAGGATTCCCAAAGGTTTCACCCCACTACCTTATGTGCGGTCGTATGCACGTCCCGCTAGTCGGGTATGCCTTCTGCGCTCAGACAGATTTCAGCACGGAACCAGTTTACTCCGTTAGAGTTCCCGAGAGTTTCGCCCCAGTACCTTATCTGTGGTCCTTTGTATGTCCGTTAGTCTGCGTACGTTCGGTACTTGGACAGATTTCAGCACGGAACCGGTTTGTCCCAATAGGATTCCCAAAGTTTTTTGGGAGTTATGTCTCCCACCCCACCCCACCCCCGTTTTTTTAAGGAGGGAATTTTCTATCGGCTTGTTGGTAGAACTTCTTTAGATGGTCTACGTTCCAGGTTCTAGCGGGGTGACCCTCTAAGGTTGAGAGGGTGAACGTGCCGTGGTTGTACCGCCGTTGGACCCTGTACAGTCCTTCCCAGTTTTTGGCCATCTTGCCACATTCGAGCGGTTTACTCTTCTCCCTTTTTCGTAGGACGAGGTCGCCGGTGTTAATCTCGCGAACTTTCACCGTCCTATTGAAGTATATCTGTGTGGCTCGGTGGTATTCCTCCATTCGATGAGCTGTCAGATCCCTACGTTCCTAAATGAAGTGGAGTTCAGCTCGTAGGGTGGCTTCGTTGTCTTCCGGTTGGAAGTGCTTTGTGTGATGTGTAGGGATGGCAACGGGGCAGATCGGGGACAGTTTTACATATAACCGTACCCAACGGGTAATTTTTACCCAAACCATAACCGCCCCAACGAGTAACGGTTATAACCGCGGGTAATCACTTTATTAAATGAGTCATTGATATTTTAATAAAAAAATAATATTTTAAAAGGCGAAAAATGGCATCACCAAGACGACGCTAGACTCAGACGCCACTTTAAAGCTTCATATATCTATAAGACGAGAAATAAGACAACCTAAATTAATTTGAACCTAAAATACTTAATCTGAAAAGTAATTAATCACAAAAAATCATATATGAAGTAATAATCAAACAAGGCTATTGAGTTCTATTGAGAACTTTCATTCTTACACTATAGTTAGTACATTTATTATCCATATATATACACAATGAACATTAAAAATCTCATCTTTTATTAGTTGTGGGACAAATAATGATAAGAATGTAATAAAAATATAACTGAAAATAAACGGGGCGGGTACGGGGCGGGTAATGGGGCGGGTATGCATAAAACCGTAACCGCCCCGTTACCCGTAAAAACAAAACGGGTATTCCCCGCCCCGTAACCATTACCAGGTCAATGCGGTTTTCCCCATTTTGACCCGGGCGGTTCGGTGCGGGTATCCATCGGATCGGTCACAATTGCCATCTCTAGCGATGAGTGGGCACCAGCACTTCCGTAGGTACCTTGGCTTGGAAACCATAGGCCAAGGCGAAGGGCGTCTCCCCCGTAGCAGTCCCTGGGGTCGTCCGGTACGTCCATAGGACGTAATTGAGTTGCTCTGGCCATGTGGATGAATAATCTTCTAATTTTTTCTTGATGACATCCATGATGGTGCGATTCATGTTCTCCACATGTCCGTTGTCCTGAGGATAGGCGACCGAAGCCCTGGAATGCCTGATTCCCCATTTTGCCAAGTATGCTTTGAACCCCTTCCCGACGAACTGCCGTCCGTTGTCTGTGACAATCTGCTCTGGGATCCCGAATCGACATATGACGTTCTGCCAGACGAAATGTTGGCACTGATATTCTGTTATGGTGGCCAGCAGCTCGGCTTCTACCCACTTGGTGAAGTAGTCGATAGCCACGATGATGAACTTCCGCCCGCCGGTCGTCTTTGGTAGAGGGCCCAACAAGTCTATCCCCCATCTGGCAAAGTTTAAAGCGATGGTCATCGGGGTATAAAAACTCGTTGGGCGTCCCGGCACCGGCGCATATTG